CGGCAGGAATAATCCTTTGACTGGTACAGCTGCATCAGTAGTATGGGTCCAGACACCTAAGTGCTGCCATCACGCATAAAGCAGATGCAGCCCTTGTCACGAGAGACAGCCTGAGTCTAGTTAGGCTTCTGGGAACATTTAGTTCACATGGGACAATCACAGAGTTTTTTTACCCATGTATTAGCACTGTCACTGCTGTGCTAACACTAGCTCATCATATTAGCAGTCACTCCTAGCCTGGTAGTTTATTTGTCTAGTAAATAATAGATACCTGTAGCCTATAGAAGAAGTGTCTCTGTTTCCCCCAAAGGGATTGTTGTAGAAAAGTTATTTTCTCACTTCATCAGCTCCTTGTTTATGTATGCTTACTGCCCCAAGATGTTAAATCAGCATGAAGACAGACCAGCCTCATCTGGTCTCCTCCCAGACCTCTGTGCACCCCTATTTTGAAATCTAAAAGGTAGGAATTAAAGAAGTACAGTATGCACAACTCCTCACTGCACTGATTGTAACTCTGCCCCTGGCTCTCACAAGAACAAACATGTTTCTAGCCAGGGTTACCTAATGACATTTCTGGGCAGTGAATCTTCCTTGTTCCAGAGCAATGGTAGGAGCAAATCTTCCATCTCACTCTCATGGCAGTGTGATCTTTTGTGGTCTCATTAGCCAACTCCCCCTGCCCCCTACATGACATGTTGGAATGTGTATTAAAGGAGAGGACTGAGTGCTTCTTTAGTCTTAAAAGCTGACTATTTCTTTCCAGATTGTTTATGCAATTTTTCACCTTAGTATGTGATTCTTGGGTGAAATTCTGGCTTCATCAAACTCCCATTGACTTCAGCTGAAAGAAGGTTTCACCCATTATTTAGCTCCTAGACTTTCCCCCTGCCAGGCTGCTCGGTTCTGAGACTCCATTTTTCTTGTGCCTTGCACTTTGAACACATGACACAAACTTAGTGTAAAATAATTACACAAAACTCAAAGCAATGGGGAATCAGCCCCCTTGAGAACTCCTGTTTCAAGCTCACTGAAATAAACCTTTGTTCATCTGTCCACTTGTCACTTTTATTCTGAAAATACTCTAGGAAAGCAAATGCTCCTACTGCATTTCAAGAAAGAACACACAAAACTCCAGTAGGCTGTTATATTTAATTGAAATCCTATACAGTTGCAAAAGGTCAAGCATGCAATGTACCATACAAAATGGGTTCAAAAGGCTTATTTCCTATGAATTGTCCAAATACATTTTTCTATAAAGCAGTTTCTTGGTCACACAAAATATAAACAAGGGAAGTCTCACAGAGAGCACCCTACTCAGATTATTATCTCCAGAAATAAAATACATAATCAGAATGACTGCTTGACCACTGGCAGCTACTTTCCCAGTCTCCAGTTTTCTGTCAGGTAATCAAATTGCCAGGTGAGAGCATTTAACCCGGCAGCATCATCAATTATGGCACAACTTCATATCATCTGCTTGTAAATTCCTTGAGAACTGGAGTTTGTCTAGCAAGAATGTCTTGACTCATTCCCCAAAGGCAGGGTAAGAAAATGACATCTCCACCAAGGGGGTAATCAGACTTTTATCACTAGTCTTTCCAGCTGTAGAGCAGGTTATATACACTTCCATTATCAGCTCATAAAACTGGCAGTATAGCAGACAGTGTAACCATTACAAAACTAACCTGCCATGTAGAGTTAAAAATGCCTCTATATACAGCAGCTCTTGGTTAATACTACTAGAAGTGATATTAGAGACTACATCTCTTTTTACTTTCACTAGACAGTTCTATGCTGTAACATCTTCAGTATGACAAGAGTGCTTTAAATATAGGATCTGGACAGAAGAGAGAGAAAGATATATATATAGTTGTTACAAAACAAACATAATACTAGACTGTTTCTCATGTAGGAAGCTTGTTCTCTTAGTACTGGCACATGTAACTAAGCAGGACCTTTACTAAGCACAAACAAGATACATACCAGTCTTTGTTCATCCAGAGTTGGAATAAAGATGTTCTCACACAGTTTCCCATTTTGCTAATTCTTAATTACTTTTCATGTTCTAGTCATACATCTGATAATGCTGCTTTGATTTATTTTCCTCTCCCTCCCTTCTCATATTACGGTCAGATTTCCATCTGCTGCTATGTCCTGAAAGTCTGACCAAATCGAGCCTATAATTAACATAACTGGTTTGGGGCCCGGACCTACCAGCTGATATTCTATCTCTCAGCAGGAGGAAGAGCCTGTTCATGCTCTATTTTCAGTGCACAATAAGGAGGATTAGTACTATTTCCATTGGCTACCCTGCCTAAATCAGTGCATGCATGTTTCCTCAAGCAGCAGCAAACTGGGATGTGTTGGTGGAGACAATGGATGTAAAGACAAAACCCTAGACACTTTCCATCTTTTCATGGAACACCAAGTTGCTGTGGCCAACAACAACAAGTAACTGGCCCTCAGAGTTAGCTTTGCTGGGTAAGCACTGAGAAGACGTGTTAAAATTGTACTGCTACATGCAAATGGGGTAATGCCTAAAGAAAACGTGAAGAAAACTTGAAGTCTTACTCAGATGGAAAGATAAAAATAGAAGGCTGTGCCTCTACTTAGTTACAGACAAATTACATCCTAATAAGGAATTTTAGGGAAATACCAGGTTTCCTCTACATACGCATTTTTCATTGAGATAGGTTCAGTGCTATGGTTTTATGGACTGCTTGCTGCCAACATTGTGAGTTGAGAGAAGATTAGTGCAAGAGGTTTTATGGTGAAGATTTATGTGAGATGCATAAAAAGAAAGGAGCTGCATCAGCAGACAGGGAGTGTACATCCTGCTGTGTTTCATGCAGGAAGTGCTAAAGTAGTTGTCCTGGGCCATACAATATGTAATGAGATACAGCAACAATTTTGCTTGTTCTTTAGTCAATACACATCACTAAAACAGCACTCGAAGGCAGTCCCATCATTTTGTAAAAATGTCTTTATCAAATTCCAGAAATCACCTAACAGAAGCTCCCAGTATCAGTGCCATCCTGCTTCCCACCTGCATGGAAAAATCTGCCAAGTCTGGACAAAGAAAACTCCTTTGAGCATTGCCTCCTCGTGTTTTCTCTAGGTTATTACATGGCAAGATGAAGTTCACCTTCTCATTTCTTTCAGGTAATGCCCACCACAACACCAAACTGCATTTGGAGAAGTTCCACCATGATGAAGTGCCATACTGGGTCAGACTAATGGTCCATCTAGTCCAGTATCGCACCTCTGACAGGGGCATGCAGTAAATGCTTTAGAGGTAGACTGTATGTACGTGCATGTCTAGTGTAATCCATACCCCTCCCTAGCATCAACCAGCATTGGTTTAGAGATGTCAGAGGATATAACTCAATGATCTGGCCCTCCATTACTTCATCTACTTCCTTGTAGAACCTGGCAGTACTATCTGCCATATCTTGCTTCACCACTGGCTGAACCTAGCAACCCCATTCCATGTCAAGGCAGTTCTGTAGTGCAGGGAAAACCTGCTGAAAAGTCAATGTGTATCCAGAGATTCCTAGTAAGGTTTGAGCCAGATTATGGCGGAGCCTGGAAACTGTGTGCACCTCTGCTCCCTGCCCCTGGCTATCCCTGTCCTCCCCTTTCCCCAAACATGGAGTGGCAGACCCATTAGTCACCAACCATGACTACAAGGACTGCTAAGAGGGAGAAACAAGTACCTTTCCATGAATTTAACTGCCCCTCCGCCACCTTCTTCCATCCCCAGTACAGCAAGGAGAGTTCCTAAAACTATCAAACTCAAGCCTCTATCCTTAACACTAGTTTCTTCATTACAGATGTCAGCGTGCTAGGAGTGCATTGATCTCCCTTGGCCCCAAAAACCCTTCCCAAAGCAAGATGCTGATAAGCCTGTCACTTTTGCAAAGCAATTACATTCCACTGTCTTCTTTAGGCTACTGTCAGAACAGCAGAAAGCCTTGGAAAAACTCCTGCTGCCAGGGTCAGGCTCTTACTTCGTGGATAAGGGAGAACTCAGCGCACAAATGAATTTTAAGAATCGCAGCAGCGACAGTTTAATGTGACAGCTTTTGCAGCCAAATTACACATTGGGTTTTCTTTTTTCATTGAACCTGGAAATATTAGCCATCATTTTCTGACAGCTAACCTAAAGTTGGAAAAAGGGGGAATTCTGATGTCTGGGGAATTACTTTAAAGCTGCTGTTTTCCTAGGCTCTTTCACACAAACTTTTACCACTAGGTAACACAATTCTGTCACATTCAGCAGCATGCAAACACCAGACACAACAAGCATGAAAATGGTAAACATGGTTTTCTCAGTGGGTCGAGAGACAAAGCAATCCACTGTGTTTGGGCAGGGCCAAGCACTACATTTCAGTAAGCGTGGCATTTGGTACCCATCATACATAAAGTAAAATGCATACATAAAGATGGCTTCAAAGAGGACTCTGAAGAAGATGCTGCTGGTGTATGTCCACCACAAGGGCCCCTGAATATGAAACCTTGTTCTTTTCAGCTCTTCAATATCAAACTTCTCCCCGTTTCTTAACTGCTTCTTCTTCTCATGGCGTCTGTAGGCAACATGCATTGCCACCAAAAGTGCAGGAGTTGAAACAAAGATCAGCTGAAGGGCCCAGAGTCTGATGTGGGAGATGGGGAAAAAGTGGTCATAGCAAACATTTTTGCATCCAGGCTGCAGAGTGTTGCAGATAAAATCTTGCTGTTCATCACCCCAGACCTTCTCGGCAGCCACTACAAGGATCATGATACGAAAAACGAAAAGGACAGTGAGCCAGATCTTTCCGATACTGGTGGAGTGTTTATTCACACCTCCCAACACGGCATGCAGCGATCCCCAGTCCATCTTTGCTTCTGTCTCCTTGGACCTAAGAAAGCAAGAGAAATGCATCAAATCATTTTTCAAGAGCTAAAAACCCAAAGATCATAACTTCTTTGAAGTAGGAGGTTTACTAGCATCTGCCAAAGTAAGCAAACAGGTAAATGCAAGTTATTTTAATTCCCTTTCTCCATATTGTTAAAAGAACACGAATCAAACATTTTATTGAATTCACACATTCTCATCACTTATGCTGGTGCCAGTAGAATCTGATACATTTCTTTACGAGTTAAGATCAAAGAGAGAACCCTCTCTCTCTCCCCCATAGTCTCTTCCCTTTCTCTTACCCTTTGCACTCTGGGAGGAGCCCACAATTGTTTGCTTTTCTCTCTCCAACCTTCCCACAGAGCCAGGGAAGAGATAAGAGAACCTGGCAGGACCCCTCCAGGATTTACAGTACTTTTCTGTATTACTGGAAGGACAGGGGAATCATAAGGCTGACCCAATCCCTACCCATCCACACTGCCTCCATCCACAGTGGAGAAACATATTCTAGGAGCAAAATGCTTATGATAAATTAATTCTCATTAATGAGTTAATGTTCACATTGTATATATGCTATTAGTCTTTGGAGCTAATACCCCAGGGAGATAAACTGGAGTAGGTCAAAGCCTCAACAGTGATTGTTCCAGCAGATGCAGCAACTGGTACTCTTCTTTCCATTTGGAAGGTTTTCTTCTTTACAACTAGGATAGAAACTTTTATTTATCTAGGATAGATGCTTAAGTTCTTCTGAAACCGATATTCAGCTGCAAGACCCCACTCGTTTACTGAATAGAGTTGTTCAAAATTATTGAGGAACAAGACAAAGTACTGGAAACTACAGTGAACTCCTGGAAGGGCTGGTTCATCATCCTTTAAAAATAATGCTAAGCCTTGCTGTGTGGGAGACCCAAGCAGGCCATGGATAAAAGCTTGTTGGAACATGCTGTTGCTTCTCCTTCCTTCATAACATCATATCCTATAGCACCCAGCAATTACTGAGCTTCTTTTCCCCCAAGGTGGTTATCTGTCCACTACATGCAAGTTGACTGTGCTGAAGGATGATGTTGCAATACTGTGGTCTCCTGAACATGTTATAACATGGTCTAGTGAGGTCTACACAGGCAACACTAAGCAGGATTACAATTAGAGCTAACTGGGATTTTTTTTTATGAATTTCTTTTTAACAAAAGATGCCAGTATTTAATACTAAAACTTTAGCAAGTAAGGGATCATTTTCAATAAATGTCCTCATTTAAATTCTGAACCCTTCTGAAGTTGTGAAAACTCACTTTTCCAAAACAAAGTTTTCGTATTTTGGTTTGAAATATAACTTTTTAAAATTTAATAATTTCTACTAAAAACAATTACAGAAAAATATTATAATCCAAGGGAAACATTTCAACCAACCCACACTGAAAGTTTTTTAGATTTTTTAGAGCAGGGGGTTGTTTTGTTTTATTTTTTCAGGTTTTGACTTTTCGTCACAATCGGGGCTGGGAAAAACTTTCCAAATCCCAGATTCTTGCACGATGGTAAAAGAGTTTCCTAACCTAGTTACAACATAACCAGAGAATTAGCATGTTCTAACACAAACCTCTGAGATGGTCGATTTGCCTGTATAGATAGGCCCTAAAGCAAAGGGAGAGGTCAGAGATATTTGGCTTTGATGAGGGAAGTTGAAATTGGATAAGTGGGGAAAGGCAGCTTTAAAAGGTGACTGAAATTCCTTAGCCCCCTTCTGTTCTCCCACTGAAGAAATGAATAATAGTTTACAGTGTTTGCTGAGTTGGTCTAATCTCTTGTCCATGCCCAGATATCTTTCTGTTTCTATTAAGAATCTACTATCTAATTATACTTGTGTTGTATAATAGTCTAACAATTAAAAAAAACCCTTTAAAAATGGACTAAACACAACTGACCAAAAGTAGGAAAAATATTGGATGTTCTATCACAAAACCAATTTAAAATCTGCCAGCATGTTATGCAACCTGAACACATTATACCTATGAATTCACTTGCACTTTCCCCCTGCCCCTCATCCACCACTACAGAAATATCTAAACACATTGTGAGACATGGCAACATCTGCCCTGGATATTTACATTGTCACCATCTTCCCATAAAGGATGAGAAATTGTCTGAAGATACCGTTTTATGGGCTAAATATAGGCTGTGATTTTGTGTAAAAACCACTGAATATTCTTCTGCCTGTGCCCAGCTGAACTCAGTAGTGGAACTCATGTTGACCTAAGTGACAAGTCAAACCAACATGAACTAGAAACTTTTGACACTGCAAAAACTGGAATGGATTAAAACTTGTGTATTTCATTTAAATACTGGCCACAAAGGCAGACTGCCATTGATCTGGAGAGAAACATGATGTAAGTTAGCTCTCTGCAGAGATTATGTTCCTCACCCTGAAGGAAA